TTTATGATCTTATTATTTTTATTAGGCCGGAGGCTAGTGGTTTGTTGGGAAAATGCATTCATTTATATTCTATGAATTAAATTATATCTATGTACTTATTTTTTTTTAATTAACGAGTGGAATGTGTTCATGATGTATGCATCCAATATTGTTCAAGTAACCTTTAATTTTTCTAATAAGCATTTGTCAGTGTCTTTTTCAGCTTTTATCGATAAAGCATTTTCATTTTTTTTTTCTGATGTCAATCGATGAATCAGGAGGAATAGTTTTGGAACTACGTAATTGAAACTTTGCATGCTTATTTATATTCACATTCTCTACTTAATGATGGATGGTTTTTAAACAAATTTCTCAAAGGAAAATTTTTCAGATTTTTTTATTTATATATTTTTTTATAAGGTTCGTGTGTTATTTTTTTTCTATCTTTTCTGTTTTAGTTTTCTAATTGTTTTTTTAATTCATGAATGGCATATGTACATGGTGTATGCATCCTATATCGTTCATGCAAACACAATTGTATACTTTTTTCATTTTTCTCAATTTTGCATTTTCCGGATTTTTTAGGAACGCCAAATGAATTGGGAGGAAAAGTATTCTAGCTACAGCATTCAAACATTGCATGCTTCTTTTCATTGATATTCTTTACAAAATTCAAGAGGCTTTTTTTTATATACCGGGTATATCCAACTAGAAAAGTTTTATAACATTTTTACATTTGGTACTCCGGAAGAGTTCTCGAATATTTATGTGACCCACACATACATGCCATTTGTAACACTTCCAATAACTGCTGTGTAATAAGCTTCTTTAAACTTGTTGTCAATGTTATTCTTAATGTGTATGCCAAGTTTCATTTTCAATACAGTACAATAAGTTACAATACAATGCAATACAATTTTGTCTTTATTCATTTTGCGTAAAAGTCAAAATTGGTATAAAATGTTTAATTTTTTGCAATAAAAGTCACAACAATTTTTTTTTAAAATAAACTTTAATGGATTTTTGTCTTTCTGTTTGTGTATGGTTTATATGTACTATATTTTTTTCAATGGCTCTATTTATTTAGGGTTGTCTGTATTTTATTTTCAATGTGGCATGACTTAGTTGCCTTGAAACCAAACTCCCTTCACAGATCACATATATTTGCTCCCACTCAATCATTACATCTGCACTTAAATGAAGAAATGATACGGGTACCAACAAAGAAAGTGAGAAAGTAAAAGGAGACAAATGGCAAAGGAATGATGTGACCTAATTGAATGAGTTTATTGGCTGCCTACTCCTTACTGGCCCCTAATTTATTTTATGGATTACTTGAGTACACAACTCAAATAACTAACAACCAAACAAAGTCAGTTAAGGTTTTGTTTTTCTATTAAATTTTAAATTATGTACCAGTGTGTTAGACCCAGTAGACTGCTATGGTAAAAAAAAAAAAAGACGATTCCTCCAAAAATAAGTCTCTTTCTCATGCTTTATACAATGGCATCCTTTAACTTTAAGATGTTCATTGCAAATACCTTGGGAATTAGGTCAAGTCAAATGAGAAAAGTTGTTGAAAGGAGATTCGAGATATCAGGAAAAATAGTCAGTGTCCACATGTATGACTCACAGTGCCAAGGGAAAAGTTTAAAATTGGTGGTTTTGTTCTGACAAAGCCAAGATCTCTAGAAGAACAGTTTAAAAAAATATATTTCTATGCTTCTCGACATCAATCCTTCTAACATTAAAAATAATTTACTTACGTAGAGCCTGATCAGAACAGAAATGTTAGAATGCCAAAATACAAACAACCAACAGTTGCCATGGTCACTGTGATTTGTTAACTCTTCTTCAAGCCTACTATCCGTCTTATCTAGGCATAAAATCAGCTATAAATGTTCTCCACTCGATCAGAAACCTGTATTTGTAACATGAATTTTAAAAAAAACAATTATTGAATCTATTAATGTAAGATTTTTTTTTGTCCACCTTGGTTGGCATTTCTTGCTAATAGGAAACTGAGTGAGTCTCTTCACATTGCAATTCATCATCTATTGGTTGCTGCTGGGCTTTATAACCAAAATGCGCATTGACAGAGAATAGCAAAAAAATATTGCGATCCAACTATTATTCCAGATACATAGGATACACCAGGGGCTCCCAAGTTGTGCATGCTCAACCCTCCAGGGGTTACCAAAAAAAAAGAAAAAAAAAAGGTAGGATTGCGATTTTAGAGGTGAAAGATGGTATATGATGGTTATGTGGCGGCATTTTTAAAACTTAGAAGATGCTATTTCATGGTTGTGTGGTGTCTGTTTACCGGGTGAAAGATGGTATTTAAATGTTTCGTGCTAGCATTATAAAGGGTGAAAAATGGTATGGCAGTGTTAAACACTTGAGTCCCAAAAATATGACTGCAGAAACCTATCCACAAATATAATTAAATGCCGAGTCAAGTTTCAGAGTGCAAACTTGAATGTAAACAATGTAAATAAATCAACAACCAACAGAATCCAAGACGAAAGACAAAACAACGGATGCATTAATGTGGGGGGGGGGGGGGGTTTTAAGGT